CGATCGTTTCGAACCCTGCTCGATACAATAACCGAGTCCCTTAGTTCCTTACCGAAGAGTGACTACCGCGAACTTCTGAGATTTTCCAAAGCGTGTAAAAAGTTTATTTATCTGTCAATAATTATAATTTAAAGTTGTTTCTCATTCTGGGGCTCGCTAGTTTATGTGCAGTGAATACCAAGAGTCTACGTTACTTGGTTATTTTAAAAAAAGCCTAAGAGTACGACGCGCTGATTTAAAATATGCATATATAAGCGGAAGCAAGCGAACTGATTCGAGGATGGCTGACCAGTTCGGCACTCCTTGAATGAGAATTTCACTCACTCCGTTTTGTTCAAAACGTTGCTTTGACAAATCTCCACACCACTGTTATCCTTTTCAAAAGTTGGTACTCCTTGCTCTGATAGCCGGGGCCACCAGGATAGTGGTAAGTGCAATCTGTGATGAGCCTCGAGACTCATTAGACCATTTGCTAAACGTGGCTCTTACAGGAGTCCACTCAGCCCTCTCTTCCCCACGCTCCTGATCACTGCGTCGGCGTCACGAAGAACAATGGGCCTTGGGCCGCCTTGGGTCCCAACGCGGCCGATACCCGTACCCCAATTACTCACGCTTCATTAACCATTTCACCGTGACGCTAGGATTCATCCAATTTTCAAAAAAAATTGTTTCGCGTGTATTTAGCAATTTTTTCCTTACTCTCCGTTAAAACAAAAATAAAAAGAGACCTCATTCATAAAAATCGGCCGAATAGGAGAGAAGTTACAGTAATCGAAATCCGAAGAAATCAACAAAACCTTGACTTCTCGATACGAAAAATAAAATGAAGGGGAAAAAAAGAAAGTATAAATTACAATTAAATATAATTGACCTCAGAATTTGACAAGCAATTCATTTATATACCTAACGCTGAAAAATCTGCGAGAAATTACAAAAAATTCGCCTCTTGCAAGGGGCTTCTTTGTAAGAATTTTGACCTGAAGACAACGGTCGAATAACAGCAGCACTCCATACACTACACGGTGTGCCTGAACGAGTTAAACATTTTTATACGTCCAAATCGAAAAATCTTTATATTTTTAACTACAATGTCTCTTGAATCGTTTAAGCCAAAAAAAAAAAAAAAAATTCCGTCGAGATTCTGGAACGCAAAGGCGCTTTAAAAGTATTCTGGGGCTATAATAGCTAAATCACCGGTAGTAAATTCGTTATATTATTAAAAAGAAATTGACTCCATAGTTTAATTCCTTAGTTTCTTGAATACGATTATTTTAAGCACTTAAACATTTATACCACCAATTTTAGCCATGGGGTGATTTCCTGAGAGCCGATAATATCACGAATTTCTCATAGAACCCTTCAACAGCGGCTTGCTTTTTTGGCAGCCGATTCGGCCATCGAACCGGAGTTTAAATGGAAGCTGATAATAACCCAAAGCTCTGAGAAAAATTTTGAGATGAGTATAAGAAGGGTTTGTTGTAAGTAACGAGGAGAGGCGGGCAAAGCGGCTAAAATCCGATCTAATTTTTACAGTTTTTCTGTTGAATTTATGTTGCCGCGGGCTTCTGACTGTGTCCACACATAGTTTCTGTTCAGCATATCGATACATAAGTATTTACACACGTAGAATCTAATTTTCACGTTGGGGAGTCGACATATTTTGATTTTTTCGATTTTATACGGAAAATTGATGGTTTTTCGGGATTGAAATTATTATTGTTTCATGAAAAATAAATGCACCCAAAATGACTATAGCATATTGATTTTTACACATTTGCACTCACGAAATTGGTTGGTAAATTCAACGAGTGGGTGCATCGACCTGGTATATATCAAGTTTCTGCAATTTTTTACGGCAAATCAGTAGATTTTCGGGATGTAGATTGCTTACTTTCAATTCATGAATGAATAAAGCAACGACATGGTTGAACTTCTTTGCATGGAAAGACGTTTAAAATAACAAAATCAAGACGTATTTAATGCAATTGCATTTATATCGAGTCAATTTCTTTTCATTAATATAACGGGATTTATACTACCGGTGATTTGGGTATGTTAGCCCCAAAATACCTTTAAATCGACTTTATCTTCTAGGAGTTCGACAGAATTTTTCCTTTCTTCGCTTAAATTATTCCGTAGCACTTTTCTTCAAGAATCTGATAAGATTTTGCTTGAGGCAGATCAAAAAACTTAAATTCGATCGAATAGCTTTCTACTTTCACAATACACGGTCTCGTCAAGGTGCGTCTTTGACCTCGCAGTGTTGGATCGTGAATTCTCTTGTTGTGCTGTTTCCCTATTTTGAAATCTCTGTAAATGAAAACTAAAGGGGTTGATATGTGCGAGTTAATGACGCGCCTTATCAACACATTGTGTTGGAGTTCACTGCTTGTTTTTTCAGTGTATTGAAATTGAGCGAAAAAACTATTGATAAAATGACAAAAGGGATATGGAGGGATCGTACTGGTGGTAGCGGGTAGTTGCAAAGGGCAAAGGAGGTAGGTAGTGGCACGAAATATACCCTATTGTTGGTCAATCATTTTCTCTCTTAGTCTATAGGAACCACTTATTTCAACCGATAGGTTCGCTCTCCGTATGTCTTCTTTGTCTATCAATTTCAAGTATCAGCCCGCAAGTTGGCCTAGTACATATCAGAAAATAAAATTGAATTATAATGGAGATGTTGCATGTGTGAGGGATTTGCGATTTGACCATTGATTCTTATGTAAAAATTTGCGAGAAACACGATTGTGCCACTAGTTTTCTCTGAAATCAATTCTCAAGCTCAAAAAAAGCTCGCAAGTTTTGGCCAAAATTGAGGGGACATCCCACCCTACCCTGAGAGTCCATTTCTACATCAAGACAAACTCTCCACGCAAAAATAGGGAGCAAGTATCTATTGACAGGGCTGCCACTTCATTTGGGGACTCCAAAACTGAAAACACGGCATCACTGCTGATGTATTTGCTCCCTATCTTTGCATGGAGAGTTTGTCTTGATGTACAGGTGGACTCTCAGGATAAGGCGGGATATCCCCTCCATTTTGGCCTCAACTTGAGAGCTTTTTTTGAGCTAAGGAGTTGATATTAGAGAAAACCAGTGGCACCATCGTGTTTCTCGCGAACTTTTACATGAGAATCAACAGTCAAATCGCAAATTCCTCACACATGCAACATCTCTATTCATTAAGCTGCACTGAAAAAATGTCACGCGCTGATATACCGTCCATTCCGGGCTCAGAGATCGAAAGTTCCGGGTGCTGGAGCCGTTGCTTCACATACTCCGGGTGCTACGTCGGGAATTTTCGGCTTCTTAGTCCGGAACGCGGGCGGTAAGCCTATAATAGCCCGTAAGTACGACTTTCACGGCCGGAGTTATTTTTCCGTGTGCGCGCATATCCTGACGCATATTTGTAAACTGTGTTAATAAAAAATGCACATCACGTCCCACGCTGTAAATATCTCTCGCTCCTATCCTGTCATTCCGACAAATTACGATTGAAATATTAGTTAGTAAGCATCCTAAATTCTATCCAAGTGAACAAATTATAAAAAATGATTTTTTTATAATTATCTACTTCTGTCCTCTTCCTCGTGGTAGCCCTCATGAAATCAATTATTTTGTTGTAGTTCCCACTTCTCCTCCATGGTGCTCTGATACTTCATGGACCTGGCTTTGTCCTGTCTGTCTACAAGTACTTCAAACCGAAATCAAATTTTGAGAACGAGGCATTCTACATGATTCACCACCTCTCGTAGAAACGTGGGTGAGGCACCACAGAGATAAATGGGTGCGAATAGCAGCGTTGCCATACCTTTAAATAAAATCGATGATTTCGCATTTGTTCACTAAAACCTATGACAACCGAGCTTCGACAATTTGACGTGGCTCATCGTAAGGCGTCGGGTGAAAAAGTGGGGGAGTGAAGCGCGAACGGAACTTTTGCAAATGATTCCGGAAACAAATTGACTCGCCAGAGTCGAAAGCTTTTTTCCATCAACGCCCCCCCTCCCCCCTTGCCGCTTAATTGCGCGAATTCTTTTTCGTCGAGAAATTCCAATCGCAGGTATACATTGACCCACGCCATCGGCCGAACCAGTGTTGTCAAATTGAACGTTCTTACACCTGGGCTCCTCGTCCCACTCAACCATCAAAACTGAAAGAAAATTACAGAATATTTCAGAATGGGGGTACTTTTTTGCTTAAACCGAGCAGTGTTCTGCATTCCCCGGGCGCCCCGCGCCATGCGCCAAATGCGCCTAAAAATCGGGCCTTGGCGCCTGAAAAATTTGACAGGTTGAACTTGAACAATCGGGAAGCAGCGGTAGCGATCAGTGGCGTGGCGTGCTTTGCGATATATCGATTGTTATGCCATTTAAACCTATGGAAAAGGATCGATAATCAGGGCGTTCGCAGTCTCTCCATGGTTGTCTGAGCTAAAGTCACCGCAAATCGTACCAAAATCAACACAAAATTTGTGTTAGTTTGTGTTTCACTTCCTGCATTAACTAAAAGTAACGTGAATATTTTTATCAGTGCCCGCTCAGTCTTGTACTGCTTGTACTGGTGCTCATTAGAACTTTTTACTTTGATTGAAATTTGTGTGTTTCTTGGCCTTGTTTTCCCCGCAAAATTAGTGCTAACCCAGCACTATTTTACGAACTTGTTACAAACAGTTCGGGCCACAATTCTTGGGGGTTTTTTTTTCGTCAGAAAAAAAATCAATCGACAAAACCCAAAATACATCTCTCCGCGGTTCTTCTCAAAGTTTTTCGATCATGCACGCCCCAACGGACGCATGAGTCGCCGATGCGGTTAACGCGAACGCACGGAGCCTCCACGTGAACACAACTCATTTACGAACGCTTGCCGGGGCGTCCCGTCGCCCGCAACAACCCTTCCGCCCCCACCCCCGGACCCCGGCAACGCGCCGAGCTTTTGCGCCTGTCCCGCCTGAACTTTCGCGGAAAGCTCCCCCGAGCTCGCAGTGTCTGGTCCGCTTCAGCCCTGTCTCGACGGCGGGCTTAAACTTTCCCCGTTCCTCGGTTTTAACGTTGTAGTTGTAAACGTGTTCGATACTTCAACGGGTTTCTATCCTGGGGCCTGCATCGGCCTATCGCGCCGTTGATGGTTGAAAAAGCGCAGGATTCCTCAGCAACATTCGGTGCAGTGAAATAAACGCGCTTTTGAATTTGGAGAGGACTCTGGTTTAATCTTAGAACGTGCGTGACAGTAAACAGAAAACGTGTTCGAGGTTTAAAAATATTTCTGTTGGTCGAAGGACAATTTAAAAGAAACATCTCATTCGCACTGTTTGCTATTTATGAGTTAGTAACATTGTCTTCTCCAACTCAAGCCATTTTATTGCCGTTTGACCTTTATTACTTCCTGTTATTGCAAGTGTAAACACTAATATTGTGATAATTCTCACGTTTACTGAGTTTCTTCTGTAAAGCTGATATCTAAAATAGGTTGTTGCAGTTATTCAAACTTCGATAAAAAAGTAGGTGTAACGTGATAGATTTTCTGCTGATTACCATTTAGGAATAGATGTCAATCAGTGACGAGGAGTGAAAGCTTATTCCAATGATCATTCAACTAATCTGCGAAATTGTTTTTCGCTTTATATTCAAGTGTATTTATCTCATTGGCTATATTTCAGTATTCTTTGAAAACAGATTAAATTCAGTAAAAGTAGTCAGTCAGCAGTTAGTATTTAGTGGAAAGTGAGAAACGTAAAAATGTACAACCGACACTTGAAGAAGGGTTAAATCAATCCATGGAGAATTTGCACACAAAAATAATTATATTGCATCATCTGAGTGTGCTTGATAAGCTG